AAAATTTTACTACAAAAGTATTTGCGAAGTATACATTTTATAATTGCTAGCATACGCGTAGTGAGGAGAGCTAAAAAACAAACATTTGTGTTATTTCCTACAATAAATTAACATAGAGGTAAATAGCTGCGTCAAATAAAGGAGCAGTTTGTTACTGAAATTTTCAAACCAAGGCCATTTTCAATAGATTCTTGATTTCATTAATGTCAACCAAAATTCTGAAATGTGTTTTAGATTCGAACGAATTACTTGATAAGGATTCTAAGATTGATTATCGTACAGCCTAATCGGAAAATATTTCAATCACACCGGCTTTTGCGCGAGCTTTCTTTTATCCACCTGCGAGTAATGAATTTTGTTCAAGATGGCCACTTAAGTGGTATATTTATTTTCTCATTTATTTTCACTGCCCTGGGAAATTTAAATATATCTTATAGAAAACATGCACAAACATATTCCGATTTGTTCTTGTTTGGTAGCAACTTATGCCTTTTTAAAAGTTATGCTTGAAGAAAGAATATATTTCAGTTGCAACGAAGGTTCTGAATGGCCGAATAACTTTGAACCCTATTGGCCGTTCCACTTGAATTCAAGATTTGCAAACTACCTGCTGTATACATTCCATTTAAGAAAAAGCACACAGTTCTCTAGGCTATGAGGGAGATGTCCCATAATTCGCAGAAAAGTTAGCCGTGTATGTGGATCTTGCTGTATACTTTATTGGTAATATTAATAAATTGACGGATGCGGTGTATTATGAATAAACGGCGACAGTAGTTTATGTAGTGCACCTCATTAATCCCTACTCCCAGAACTTTCTCCTATTAAAATGGCGGTTATAAGGTTTTATGGGTGGCGAATTAGGATACGCAGTGAAATATACTTAATTAACTGCTATATGTATTTTCATTTTATTTTATTTAGAAATGTTGTTGATTTAGATCTGCAGATTTTCCTAATCTGCATTATCGTTTAACGTATTGCGGAAAAACCCGATCCTCAAATTGCAGGTTTCTTGAAATTCGCGAAAAATAGAAATGGTGGTTAGGAGGTCGTCTACTTCAACTTACCTGAAGTTCAACTTACGGTTCTGGGGTTAGAGTAGTATAGTCCGCGGCACGAAGCGCCGCGCACACTTTCAATTCACATGTGGAACAACTTTCTCCGCAGGAAGCAACTTCGACTACATTTTTTTCTTTTCACAATTACTTCTAAAAATTGCCCTGCCTGCCTACCCTTTTTCCCCACCCCCAAGAACCCTATCACCACCGTTTTCATGGGAAAATGTTGGGACTAGGGTATATGAGGTACGCTATATAAATGACTTTTGCCGAATAAACATTTCACGGTGTTAATATTTTCATAATTGGAAACGTTTTTAAAACTGAATCACACCTCTTGTCCACGTATAAAATTTGAGTAAGGCGTAATTTACTACCAATCGAGTATGATAAAAACTATTCTTATGCATGTTTTCTATAAAAGATGCTTATAAGGGCGTTGAAAATCAATGAGAAAAATATATACTACATAAGTAGTCATTTTGTAGAGAGGATACTTTTGGCAGACAGTCAGAAAAAAGCTCGTTCAAAAGCTGGTATCCTGGCATAATTGAAATATCTTGGGATTAGGTTGTACGGTTATTAATGTTACACTGCTGCTACTTAAGTACTGTGTTAGAGTCTAAATCATATTTCAGAATTTCGATTGGCATCTCATGAGATACGGAATCTACTGTATATTTTATTCGTTCACAAGCTTTGTAAAACATCTGGAAGAGATGTAAAAGTTATTTTATTCTTTCCTACTGGCACATTTAGAAGTGCCCATAAAAGTGCAGTGTAAATAAGAGTTCCAATGAGCTCTCGCCAGAATTCCGGCAGCTAGTGGCTGGTAACAGTTTAAGTTGAGAGCCACTTTTTGCAGCTATTTAGCAATATTTCTGGATAAACAGCTTGAGGTAGTATAGCAATTTACTATATTTGAAAGCGCGTTTAAATAGCTCTGTTAGTGCTCCAGGTAATTAGCCACTGATATTAAGGTAAGCATTCTATTGAGTACTGCTGCTCCTATTGGTCGTAAAGGATAAGGCGTTTTACGCTTCATTAGTGTGTAGGACATCAAAACTGCTCTAACTTAACCGAATAATCGGATTGGTTTGCCGTTAAAAAAAGTGCTCAGAAATTATGACAAGAATTTACTCTACCACCTGTCAGTATTCGTAGTCTGCGGCGATCAAAGGATAGTATAACGACTCTGAAATCCTTAGCGCACTTGCTTCTGTATACGGTCCTTGTCTTCGATCCATCTGACTGATTACTATTCATACTAAAATTGCTGAATTCTCTCGCCTGAGTATTTATGATAGTTATTTGCAATAATCATACTACTCCCCACGAAAATAAGTACGTTACTCTAGAATCGCTGTAAATAAAGACTAGGGAGGCTGGTTTGAAGCAGTCGTTGACTCAGGGTCCGAAAGAACAGTGTTCGAGTCCTGGAATTTCCTGAAGCGCGGTTTGAGTATGGCTGCCTGATCATCAATATTAATTGCCTTTGTTGATGGAATCTTGCAGCCACTGACTGCCTACATGGACACCAGAAAGCAGTTGCAAAGCACAGCGAAACTTCTGTCTTCCATTGTGCAATCAAGCCAGATTAAGGAATTCTTTCATACACTTTAATAAACGCATTACATTCTGGTGCGACTGAGAAAAGGGACTTTAAACTATCAGTTCTACTGACGAGTAGGATGCCGCTTGCTGAGTAAGGTGAGGAGTAAGCTTTCAAGGGCTTCTTGGATAAGCAAAAAACTTTTCTCTAGCTTTATGGGAAATTTTTTTCTTCATGACCATGGCACAATTTTCAGTAGAACTAGGACCGTGTATTGAACATTTTACCTGTATTTACGTCCCACTCATAAACAGCACCGTCCATACCGCACGAAATGAGCTTTTGATCTTCGTTAGTCCAGAGAAGACAGCGGATTTTCCCATTGTGAGCCTTCAGATTGTGCAAATTTGTATACTCCATGAAGGAATATATTTGGATGGTGTTTCCGTGCACTGCTGCAAACAGTGCTCCACCTCTACTGAAAGCACACTGAAAATTATTGGAAATGAAGAAATCAAAATAACATATAAATAAGACATATTTTGCCACATGTAAAACTCATTTCCGACAGCCAAATTTTGGGAAAATCTGAAAGGTGGAAAAAGTAGCAAGAAAATGCTACCCAACTTAACAGAAAAGTACCTCTTTGCAGCCCCGAATTGGAAACTCCTTGAAGGGACGAATGTCCTTAAAGAGCAAATTCATTAGACGCAGTTTGTCACTAAATCCCACGAGAACGTGTAGGCCGTTTGGATGAAGAGCAATGCTGTAGGCTTCTTCGGCAAATTCCTTGTAGAGATCTAGATGCCTTAAGATTAAAAAAAGCAAAATATATCTCGATTTAATTAATTAATTCACGTGTTAATAAATTACCAATGTTTTTAACTAATAGTCACTTGTCAAGGTTTGAAAGCGCTATATCCATGAATGCAGTTTGAACTCACAGCCGATTTAATTAAAAATGGTATGGGCTCTGTTGAACGGAAATACCTTAAAACCTGTAAAAAATGAAAATATACTGAAAATTCGTTCTTTAGATTAAAATGTCAATATATTTATTTTAAAAAGACCAGGGGGAGATAATTATGCAAAATAAGCCTTTAACAAATTTTAAGGATCGCAGAAAAAAATGAGCATTTGAATTTCGCCCTGGATCTTCGGGTCTACGGCCCATCCAGGTAGTCGTGTGTCAATGGGATAGCAGCTGTCGGAAATTTCTAATTATCCCTAACTAATGATACTGCAATGTACGATATAGTTTTATTGCGGACTTTGAACTGAAATTCAGTGAACAACCGAACACTTGTTGTCAATGTTCGGCCTACGAGAGCTATGAGAGTGTCTGATTGAACTCTATATTCGGTGGTCAAAGAAAACTAGAAATGTTCATTTTTGTCCCACAACAAGGAATATATCGAAAAATGTTATTTTCTGTGACGTTTTGTATTCATGATCTTCTCCGAGAAAAATCAAACACAGTAGTTCCAACAAGTATGGTATTGGAGGTGAATACCCCTTGATCCACTGGTACAAAATTAAAACGTTCGATGCCCTAGCGCCGGTAACCGTCGACAATAACAATTTTCAACAAAAGCTAATGGGTTACTTCAGTAGGCTAATTTTAGCTTCTTTAACTAAAATTTGGCTTGGTTCTGAATTCATGTCATATTGTAATTTTGTGGTGACTTGTGAAGTCGAAAAAATACTTCCTAGGAGTTGCTTATATGAATACAATCTTTTGAAATTTTAATGTTGTCTTGTTAACCAATTTATTTCCTGATAATATTGAAAACTGACAAACCTTAAGCAAACTATCTTTCGGTATAAGGTCATGCTCATAAAATTCTTTCTTACTTCGACAATTTACGGTGCACATCATTTGAGTTTACCTCATGAACAAAACGAAAATGCATGCAGTACTTTCGGAGTAACTTTTAATCGTTTAGGTAAAATTTAAATGATTGGGAAGTATAACTGACTTTGTTTCGAAATTCCAGATGCGCACTGTTCTGTCGGCAGCGCATGTTGCAATTAATGGCTTCCGAACGCAGCAATCCAAACCTAAGATGCGGTCTTCGTGAAAAGCCTGCGCCAGCAGCTCAAAGTGGTCTATTTCACAAGGTTGTTCAGCCTCTTCATTTGCTGCTTTGGAAGCTCCAGCTTTTTTATTTCCTCCTTGGTCTTTTTTCCTAAGTAGATTGCCGACTTCGTGTTTCCCACTCATGCCCATGTCAGGAGACACTAGTATGTAGAGATAAAGTTGATGAGAGGTTGTGCTGGCAATCAACGTCTCCTCTGATGGGCTTATGACGAGTTTTGATACCATCTGCTGACTAGATGAACCGGTATCTGAGCTGCTATTTGGATTGGCCGGGATGCGTATTTCTTTGGTTCGCCGGTATATTTGAGTGGGGAAGTGCACATTATTATTCTTCTGTTGTTTGGTACGCACCTTCTTGGTCGGCCCCACCTCTTTCTCGAAGCAGTGTACCAATCCTGGACCACATGCAACAAAAATATATTTTGATGTTGCCACAATTGCAGTTGCACTTTCCATTGTGATTAATTGACTTTCTTCTTCCAGCTCCTGCCTTTAGAGTCAGAAGATGGCAAAGTTAACTATGAGGTTTATCTTAAAAAAAACGAAACATATCTGGCCAATTTTATAAATTTGCGAACATTTTGGGAAAGGCAGTCCTTTCACTCCTAGGCGGCAAGGTTTTTTCGAAAAACTGATATCTGCTTACTTCAGTAATTAAAATGCGTCTGTGTTAAAGTAATCCGGTTTGACAGCTAGATCCTCTTTAATCTTTAAAATCGATTATTCTGAGATGGTGGCAAAATTATAGACTCTTGACTGATTGTTTTGCGCGTTTTTTGTTTATAGACATATGTATAAAGTGGCAGATATGCGCCCACACCGATCGGCTAGAGGACACACTCGTCCGTCCATGGTGCCTTCAGAGCTCACACTCGAGCCCACGCCGTAAGGCGGCTAATGATATAGGCAGAAAGGCATTAACGGCAAGGACAAAGGAGACTAGAATGGCCATTTCCGGCTTATTAGCCGTCATCAGCAAGTCATACCCAACTCAAGTGTTGCCCCAGAAATTGGAGCCCCGATCGAGATTCGGACACGCGATCTTGTTAGTTAGAATTCCAATGCTCTAAACATTGTTCCATGGGCTCCTTGTCTTGCCGGTTTTTGATCGGGGATATACAGTGGTAGATAGGCGCACACAACGATCAATTGCAGGACACACAATTCCGCCCCTGGTGCCCTTGGGGCTCACTCTCGAGCCGCGCCGTAATCTGTCTTTAACCCCCGAAATTATAGCTGTTTGGCAATCTAATAACAAAGCATTCTCTGAGGAATAATTGCCAGATTTTTGGAATTAAATTTAACAGTCGATAACGGTCTATTTGATCATAAGATGCAAATAACATAAAGTGCATTGGCTAATTTAACTGTATGGAAACAAAATTGAATAGTTAGCACTAATCACTTACTGATTATCCTCAAACTGTTCACCTTCTTTGAGTATATTTACCTTCATGTCGTGCTCTTCGATAGGTTCCCCATTAGTTATTAATATCCACGTTCCTTTGGCTGTTCCAACAGCTAGTTGTTCCTCGTTTATCCATGCGTGACATAAGAAGTGTTGTGGATCAATTTTGCTAAGGCCAATTTGTTTTATAACTCCATCATTAAGCCCGTAAACTTTAAAATTATCTTTTCCTGTAACGCACATTTGTGTACTATCGTTAGGATTTATGGACACCTGAAACAAAATAAAATAAGCCAGTCAAATTTATACTTCGTGGATGGGGTTGCCCAAAGAGGTTGTTGTAAACGCTATAATTTTGTTTTTCTGCCAAATCCAATAGGATAGCTTCCAATCAGGCGCGCCTCCTTGGGAAATTAGATGCATTGAATCCGGGGAAAAATGTATGCTTATGAATTCGTCGCTCTGAAGCTCCGGGTCGTACAAAGTCTTTCGTCTTTTAAGCGAATTAAGATCGTATATGATAATAAGTGGTCTTTCTTCCGTTTTTTCTGCCAGAGCCACATATCTTCGATTGGGGCTCATGGCCATTGACGTCATTCCATCAGATTTTTCCAAACCACTTATAAATTTTTGGGTTTTGTGATCGATGTTATACAAAACAAGATTTGCTCCGCAAGGATACAGAAGATTTTGTTCATCTTTAAATGCCAATGCATTATTTATGCCAGTTCGGAAACCAAAGGCATGTTTGAGTTGAGCGATGCCACTTGCCATTTCGAACGAGTTTCGTTTGCACCGCTGAAGCGTGACTATGGTAACGCTTCAGGTCAGTGATGCAAAATTTTATTTTAAAAGATCTGCAGTTTTATTTGATAATTTATTTTGCAAATTACCTTAATTTTTCCATTTGCACCAGCTGATAAACTTGGAATATTATATGCGTAATCAAAAATGGTCTGCTTGTAGAAGGGGCAAAGGAACGAAGACTGTGACGTGGAAATCTGCAGAAGTAGAACGCAGATCGAAAAGATGGGTTTCGATTAAGCTCTTCTTGAAAGAAGATCGCCAAGACCACGCTGTTTACGTTATCTTGACTCCATACAGAGTAGGCACTGGTAAGTCACTCGCCATAGGTAGTGGTCACTGATAGGTAAGAATAAAAAATTGATCCAAGAAACGATTGTTATTATAATATCCTTGCTGGGACGTGTACCTTTTCAAAGTACTAAACTAGACTTATATTAAGGGGGAGTGTTCATTTCTGTATGGTTTCTCCTTTTTTTTCTACAGTTGGTTAAAAACATTGTGATAATTTTAGGATACGCTCCTCATGCATATCCCCCTTTAAAAATGCCCTAACGAGCAAATTTTCCGTGCTCGCTCGAACCCTCAGCGCACGGCGGTTAGTCAGTCAGCGTATTTGAGAAAAATAGGCTTCGCCTTTGAACTTCCTATTTAACACATAAAAATCTCAAGAATTAGAAAACATGTAAAAAAGTTCAATTAAGTAAATGTAGACAGAGTCACATCGTGCACTGGTGTTTCAAGGTAAATGAGTCACATCGTTCACGTTGTACTGCAAAATATGGATAAAAAGTCGGTTTTTGAATGTTTCCACAGACTGGGACATAACAATCGTCTCAGGTAGGTTATTCCACGGGTCCATTTTTTTCCAAATTATCCTACCTCACTTGCTCACCATCGACTTCAGATCGGGTAGGCTTGTACAAGCCTCACGCCTGCCATTTACCGGGCACAATTGTTGGCATTGTTCCGCTTTCCGTTCGCCGGTAACTTTCCCAGTACGTACATGCCGGCTTCTTCTTGCCATTTCTGCTAACTTAGCTGGAAAAATTCATAAACCTTGCTCATTACCACCGCGGTTTATTTCAGCTACGGCTGAGTCGTCATCAGCTCTATTACTTGACGTCCCCGGCACTGCGCACTGTTTAGGGTTTCTGTGTTCGAGAGCCTTCCACTTGGGCGGTTGGCGGCTTTCTTTCAAAAGCTGGAGCTAAATTCTACGTATCACTCATATACCTTGCGCACTACCGTCAAGATTGACTTTAACTACGCCGAGACCTTCATGGCGTCCGCCACCCGACGAGCCTGGCAGTTGACTCAAATCCGGGTTTCTGTGTTCATTAACCAACCAATTTCGTGGTAGCCGACCTACTTCCAGAAGATGGGGAGAAATTACTTGGCACTGGTCACATACCTTGCTCACTACCGAAATTGGCGACTTCGGCTACGCCAGGACGTTCATCATCTCTGCAAACTGTCAGTCGAAGTAGTAGACTATCTTCCGGGTTCAGATTTTCGTTTGCCATCCGCTTACACCTATGGCGGCGCACCTCTAGAAGTTGGGACTTAGCACTTGTCAAATTCTCTTACCTAGCTCCATTCCTACTG